TTGATTATGCTATAATTCAATATTGACGACTTTTTGATTTCCCTAAGAGAAGTTCCAAATAAAAATTACTCTAACTTACTGAGACTTATTTGACTTTTTTATCGGGTTACCGGTGTTTTTTATTTGTATTAAGTAGAAGTATTATTATAATAACTATTGTGAGATATACGACAGTAGGCTGCGCAACATTGCCGCACGCCGCTCATGAGGAAGAGCCCCCCTGTGGCTCGAAACTAGTAGAGGTTTTCTCAGTATTTTCACGTGAGTGACCCGCGACTTTTAGTTAATTTAGAAGTATTTTGTAAAATAATTGTCTTGTTTCTGAGCAAAGACTTTACCTTAACTGTACGATTGTACGACCAAAGTCATGAATACGACGGAAGATAAAGAAAGAGTAAGGATCTAAATAGGTGTATTACCACATGACACAAAACAAGTTTACGTGGTTATAGTCTTAGGAACAAATGGGAACAAACAATCAAAACAGCACTAGAGTTATTCATTTCTTTATCTTATACTTGACATAATCAGAGTCTTGTTCCCAACAACCAGCCTCTACAAAGACATTATCCCATCTTTATTATCTTCTAAATGATAAACTAAGGCGAACATATTTCTGGTTTTTATTTTCGTCAGTGGACAATATGCCCCCTGCTGTTTACTGGGACGGTCTGTCGCTTTCCCCTCGACGCTCTGTCAACAATACATTCTTATAGCAAACATGGCGAACTCCATATAAAATTTATTGTGCCAATGTCGAGAAAATTCTTGACAGAGATGTAGAATATTTGTTGAGGCTCCTTCGTCACTTAGGGAGTTTATCTAGTTTTTATGGAATCTCTGGCTCTAGTGATTTTATAAAGGTTTGTATCATAATAATGTAACGAGAAAATGATTCGAGTTTAGTCCTTCATTCTATGCTCTACAAAACGATTGAGATGGCTTGATAGTTAAGTACCTACAACTTATTAAGTACAATTTCAGTATTCAGGCGTTCAACTATTAGCACATTATAACGTATTGTTTAGTATGAATACCATTAGTTGTAAGTATCAAGCCGAGCAAAATGGACAACGAACCTGCTAAGTTCAATACAGTTTTTTGAACATCTTGATTTTATTTGTGAAACTCATTTGCCAATACCCTAGTCTGGTCGAAGAATCTTCTAAGTTGTTGAGAACAAGTGTCCTAAAGTGTTTGCTGTTAAGTGAATCAGTTGGTGCCCAGAACGGCACTCAAACCGAAACCCCTTCACATTACAACTGATTGGTGCTCACCAAATGAACCTCACGGTGTTAGTCTTTTCTACTGTAATTACGTGCCATTACCACTAATCTTCAGCAGTGTTAATACCTCTATAAGCTAAATCAAACTCTATTTACAAGTTATAAGGTGCCATATCCTTCCACAGGAAGCTTTGAGAGCCAATGATGTGGGTTATATGACAAAAGAGAAATAGTTCTTACTGCCTTAGCAGAAAATCGTAAATCGGTAAAATTGGGCTGTGTTTGAGCATTTTGTGCCTTGGAGCTTTAAGTTAAAGTTGTTTTTCGATTAGAGTATGATAAAGTGTGGGGTGTAGCTCGAGGCCTGAAGGAGTTAATGCGTGCGGCACAAAGGGCCAAATCACTGCCCGACGTGCGGCCGTGGCGTCAAAGAGCGAATTTGTATTCCAATTATGACGCCAACATAGACATCCGACGATCAATAAAAGGTGGTCATTTTAAGGCAGTTTTTCGATATTCGTTATGGTTTTAATAGACTGCATGATCGGTACAGTGATATATTTGTACACTTGTCATGCTGATCTTTTGTAAAAATAGTTTTGTTGGCTTTACTTCAAACGCCTTATTAACGATTGAGTCACTGATATTCCTTCTCTAAAAGCTAAGCAGAAAGGTCCTGATTATAATTGACGTGTCTGTTATCATCAGGAAGACTTTAAATCCTACTTTAGACTACTAAGCATTGTAACATCACAAAGGAATTAAAGAATAAGATAGCAGTTAAGAAGAAGCAAAAGGCCCATAAAATAATAATAAAAGGATAATTAATCGATTTGAGTACATTACTAGTCCCCCAGTGGGTCGTTAGTGCTGGGCCCCTGTCTGCATTAGCCGTTTGATTGCGATTTTGTGCTCCCCACTCCGAGATTCAATAAATGCTCACCCCGACAGATATATTTTGACGTTCCTATTTGCTAAGACGTATGATTATTGGTTAGTAATTGTTTTGTGAGATCAATCGCGAGATTTTATTTCATAGAATTTTGGATTGTTGTCTTCGCTCCTTTTATTCTTTTCGTCTCCAAAAGGTGTAGGAAGTCGCTGGTTACTGGCGTTTGATCCCATTTTGTTTTTGTTTTATTTACTCAAATTCAAATTTATACTTTGTTTATATAGTAAATGCTCTGGTTTGTAGTATTAAATTGTTAGCTCAAGTAAATGTCTTGTTAAGGCCGGACCTATCACCATTTGGAATATAATGAGTCAATTCTGGTTGCTTTCAATGAGCACAATGCATCAATTGAATCCGAATCACCACTTTAAGGCTTGCTGCAACAATTCTATTTTTCTTTTCTTACGTATTATTTGAAACGTGCTTGGTATTGTTAGAGTGAAAACCACAATGAAAAGTAAATATTTTTGGATTGAAATGACCTTTTATTAATAAAACGACTTTGGCAAACTTTAGATTAACGTTCTAAATAATTTAGAGCAACCGACAGACAAATTACAGATCCTGATTTATAACTGTCACACTACAAAGAGCTACAATCAAAAGACCTTGACTTATTCGTATATCAGTAGGGTTTTATATATCTACAAAATGCTTACATATTGCCAAATTCGGTTGAATAGCGTCAAAGGCGATAAGTTACGCATGAGATGGGCCCCTAACTTCAATCGACATAAAGACAATGTCGATCGTCACCACACGCACTGTGGAAACAACGTTTTGATTTCTTTGCCATTTTTACTTACCCCTGTTTGCGTGGCACTGGGTGCGACCGATCAAACGGTTGGTAAACATGTTATTTTAGACACGGCTAGTGATTTTTTTGTAAAGAAATAATGTTAGTTCTGTGGTGAGGATAAAGTAAATATTAATTTCTCTGATTCTTCAATGAAATGGGAAATTAACATTAATGTTTTTCTAAGGCTAAGATAGGATTTAAATGCACTCGAGTAGGTATTATTTTATTGAAAGGCTATACTTAACCTTGACTTAATATTGAGTGGCGTTTCAGCATTTTGGTGTAAGTGATGTCATACGAATCGTTGTAAGCAAGTACAACAGTATTGAATTGGAATTATTAACCCAAATAAGTATTACATCTGCCCTAATTTCGAAACACCTACTTTTATTACACCTTGAATCATTTCAAAACACGTACCTTGCATATTAATGAAAGAAAAATACGACCACGATAAGAAATCGCATGTTTAGAAGCAGTTGGTACAGTTGTTCCGACCATAAGAATGTAGAAAAGTGGCTGGAAACCGCTGGACAAGGAATTTCCGAGTGCCACAGCTGCTTTACAAAAATATTTTGGATATATCGACGTCATTTTTGTACTGACTAAATACACATTCTAAATGTAGTTGACGATTAGTGTTGTATTACGAATTTTTCTCTGTTTACTTTTTGTTGCATTCATTCTTTGTTTCGTTTTTAGTCAAGATAATTTATTTGTAATGCAACTCGATATTAAGACTTCACTGGTGAAGTTCGTTGATATCTTATGATTCTTGCAAGGCTAAGAGCTTGTCAATTTTGAGTATCACTGTAAGTAAAGTATCTACAAGAAATAACTAGAACTGTACGACCAAAACTTTATCAAATTACCCGTGGGAATGTTATATAAGGTGAGGAACGATAAACATTAGTTTGGGCAGGCCAGAATGAGTGACAGCACACGGGCGTGTCACTTCTCGATTTCATTAGAAAACATTGGGACCAATGTTTGCTGTTGGCGCGTGCTCACCGGTCTAGGGTCGTGTTACGATGTTCGCTCGCTCCAACAATATTGTGGTTTGTACAAACTTTGCTCTCAGACTTTCTTTCTCCGCTCCTTCTATATTATTATGTGGAAATAATGATAGTGTGTATATTTCGTGAAGAGGTATTGCTTTGTATATAGTAGTACGATTTTTTTTTCATCTGAGAGCTTTGCTCACTCTGAGTGGAATAGTTACTAGGTTCAAAACTTATTATTGAGCCTCAGTGGTCGACAAGAATTAAACATACGAACCACGTAATAAATATGAGAATGAAATATCAAAACAGTGTTATGAGTCCTGTTTTGTATTGAAACTTATCAGGCGATCTTAGATACTGCAGTCCCCGCAAAAAGCTCGTATAATATTGTTTACTTTCATAATAAATAGCAATGTTTCAAAAATAAGTACGCTTTCAATTCTACAACTAAAATTGATGTTTCGAAATGTCTTTTTCAATTAGATCATTGTAACGCAGTTCAATTCAAACAATTAATATTATTTCATGTACCTACAGTAGACATTTAACGCAAATAAACCCAATTTTCACAGTTAGTAACCTATGTGGATAAGACAAGATGGCGAATGGTCGCCGAACGCTCGTATGAACCTTAGGTAACTGACCGTTCTCTACAAACATTTACGTTTCTACTCAGAAGCGTTCGCTCGACAATGTTATAGTTCGTTTAACTTCAATATTGGGTTTGATTGTTCAAAATGTAGCAAGCTTTTTAAAAGAGGTATGATTATGTACTTTGAAAAAGAACAAATAGTTAATAATAATGTCAGTATGGTTCAGGAGATGCATCTCTGCGTGTTGTGTTTTATGTCAGGTTATATCCACTGAAATCTTAATCAAAGGTTACTGGTATTTTAATTTCCAATATCAGAATTATCTTTTCTTAGCTGCGACATATCTGCTGTATCAATATCTTTAGAGTTATTACGTATATCAAAAGTTTAATCTCCGTAGCCATATAAATCAATGTTTCTACTGACCTGGTTGACGTAAATGTGTGTGCGCGTCGAGCGTCGACTTCGACATAGCCGATAGCGAGTTAGTGCCATAGCCTGAAACAAAATAAAACAATTAGCAACAATAAATAAGTAGATAAATCTTATACTATTATATAAAGCGCAAGAGTTTGCTTTTTGTTTGTTTGTTTGAACGCGCTAATCTCCGTAACTACAAATCTGATTTGAATAATTATATTTGTGTTAGATAGTGCATTTATTGAGGATAGTTATTATAAAACATCAAGCTACAACCAATAGGAGCTGAGCAGAGCGTGTGAAACCGCGCGGAAGTAGCTAGTAATAACAATAAACCTCCGTGATTTGGTTGAGCCTAAAATGTGCGTTGTTCGGATTCCAATTCACCCTTCAGCTGCTACTTTGTCTACTTTGTCTTCCTATCTTATAGGACTGTTAATAAGAAAAACCACATTGGCACTTTTTGCCGCACACATATCGAACTCAAACATGCGCTCTTAATTATTACGTTAGTTAAGAACGTATCAATAACAATCACAATTATAATTTAGGGAATTGAAATTCACAAACCATCTATACGTAACAATACTTAATAAAAATTGTACCCTATACTTAATCAATAGTTATAGTAAATCTTCTCGATATCAAACTTATACCAGGCTCCACTATACAGCTAAAAGATAATCCCTCAAATGTAGTGACAAGGATCATATTACAAGTGATCGATGTAGTTACCCTCGATTATGACCGGAGTCGTTTGGACGCTTCGGTAGATAACTTCCAGAGACATCAAGATAGAACTAAAGGTTAACTATGTATTTCTATAAGCAAGGATAGTATACCACACAAATGATTTCGTGGATAAAAGTAGAAGATAAGCAAATTGTTTATGATTACGGATAAAATACGTTTCATGAATAGTGGAATTACTTAATTTTAGGATAATTATGGTAAGTATATTAGCCAAAGACGTTTACTACTCATGATACTGAACATAGGCCTAGCTCAATTACTCCTAGATCGGCTGGTTGGAAGCAATCTGCATCCAGAGACTCTTGATGACCTCAGGTCGTCGGGTATTTTAGATATATTTATTGTTAATACCACGAAATTTTAATATAATTTTCGTGTCAGTCGCCACAGTCTTATATCTAAGGTATTTTATTTTTAAAACTATTTCAATTTTTGACAAGAATCACAAAAACAAAGATACCAAAATCGTCTTTGTTTCGTTCAATTTTAACCCGCACCATTCCCCCAGAAGTGTTCAAACACCGTGAAACATGGAATCAAAAATACACTCGGAATCAAAGAGCTTTCCACAATATAGCTCTAACACTAACTAACTATGCGTGAAATCCTATTGATATCATCATCATCAAAGACAACCTAATACTTCAAAACTTTCACACTATAAAAACAGCTCTATTCTAAATAAATAAAGTTGAAAATGGAAAAGTTGGTGGTGGAGAACCACCTCGGGCATTTTTCGCCCCTAAGAAACAAATGACTAACATTGTCAATGAAAATCCCGTCGCTTTGTCCTATGACAGACGGGTTAGTTATGAATTGGTTTAGGAAAAAAAAGTTAATTAGTTGTCTGTTGGTTATTTCCATAGTAGTTTTACTTAGATCTCTTGCGGACTGAAGAAGGCAGACAGGACTGTAAATTGTTTTTTTTTGCAATAGTGCTTTCCTATTTTTGTCATCCACTGAGATTTGAAGAAGAGTTGAAGACCGAGCTCAGTGGCGTGCCATTGGAGAGGCCTATGTCCAGCAGTGGACGAATACAGGCTGATGATGATGATGATGACTGAGATTTTTTTCTAGAGGAGATGGTACAACGATCAAAAATTTCACAACTAAAACAATTAATCTCTTTTTTAAACCAACATCTGCTAACTTCACCTATGCCATTATATAAGGGCAAGTGATTGAGTTCAAACAAACGCAAAAAATGAGTTAATAAGGTTCAAAATCCCTGGAATGTTGGTTCATTGTTTTGCTCCACAATAATGTCGTTATGGCTCCGACTGAGTTCGAAGATTGAAAAAAAAAACGGTAATTTGTCGTCCTTTTGTTGTTCATTTTGTATTGATTGGCGTTTTGTTTCTGCTTTTTTCTGATTTGAGAGTAACAATGGTACTTATATCCATTACTCTCATCATCTTTCTAGGTAGGAAGGAGCTTGTTCGGTAATGTATTTACAATATTGAAATCAGTTAAGGAAAGTCCAGTAGATATTCTCAAAATTCTGGTACTTATTACGTATACTTACATATTTTAATAGACGGCATTTTTAATATGTCGTTTCTTTACTTATTTAACTTAGTTATTATATTAAAACGTTTCTATATACGTTCAATCTCGATTTATCTCATAATTGAAACTAATCTTGAATGCTGTTGTATCTTGAATATAATAATAGATATACTGGTATTTTTTAATTTGCTATAACATCATAGAAGTCCACGGCGCGTAAGCGCGCGTGACGCGCGGGCGTTGAAGACGAGTGCGCTGACGTAACATGGATATTTGAGTGGCAAGAACGTTAAAAAAAAACATTTAAACGTTCGGCCCAAATTACTTCAAAAAAATCCACCCTGTAATTCTCGGTTCACCATACAAGTGAAGCCAATAGAATCTAAATCAGACACTTTCGTCCCCTAATTTCGCACCAACGGATTACAAACAAAGAGCTCCCTTGTGTCAAAGTTTACACCTAAAAACAATTTAAATAGCCCGATGGTACCCGACCGCGAATCAGATATCTCATTACACCACATCAAAGGCTCTTGTCAAAACTATTCGTTTGTAAGGGTGTGTACGAAGTCTGGTCGTGGCATTCTGGTATTTTATTTTGGTTTTATTTTAATTTTGGTGAAATTGGATGAGGTTTTATAAATTCATTTAAAAAGCGTTATAAATTTTCATAATACCTGTCGTGAGACATTCTAAATTAACTAAAAATCGCACGCTGTTCTTGAGAACCCCTCTGTAGTTCGAAACTAGTAGAGCATTTCTCAGTATATTCACGTGAGTAACACGAGATTTTTAGTTGATATTATAAATGTTTGTATTGCATCTATAAAAATGAGGATTATGCAATTACAATGCGATTGTAAAAATCCAGAGCTGAGTTTTTAGGGAACTGAAATATTGTTCTTTTCTCACAGTGCTTATTTACACGGGCATTTATGTCCCTGTGAAAAATAGTATTAATTAATAAGTGAAGAAACAGCGACCTCCAGTGCCATAGTATTTACCTTCGTATTGTTCTAGATTCGAGGTCGTCTTTGAGTTATTGAAAATCTATATATATATAAGAAAGTCGTATTAGTTACACTATTTATAACTCAAGAACGCCTTAATCGATTTAGATGAAAATTGGCAGGAAGGGAGCTTAAAACCAGGAGACGGACATAGGATGCTTTTTATAGAATACTTTTTTTACTTTTTACCGAAAATCACGAACGGGAACGGGGGGAAAATGAAATTGCGCGTACGAAGTCGCGGGCAGAAGCTAGTAATTTATATATTTCAATCAGTCTTAAAGAGATATCAATTGTTCTACTAAGATAAACTCGTTGACTCACTGCGAACATTCATTATCATATTCACACTGTATATAACTTGTTTTGGAAGTCTTTCCCAAGTTTAAAAGTGCTTTTTTAACTTGTAAGCCATTGTATAGAGGTATATAATAAACTACTTATATTCTCCTAAACGATTTAGATTAAGCACTAACTATAGTGTCAATACCAATAGAGATTAGTTTAGTATTATTACAAGGTGTGCATTGTAATGCTCGGTTCTCCTCCTTCACTGATGTAATCCCCAGATCTGTAACGTTACATTACACGTGAATGCTCCCAGTGAGGGAGCACCTTAAGGCTCAAACACAGGTGCTCTGTGCTCTCACTTGGATATATCTGATGAAACAGCAATAAAACACTACTATACTATCTGTCTATATGTTTGTTTGTCCGGAAGACTATTTCCTGTTTCTCTGTGGTCGTGCTTCTGATGGAGTTCATTTATAACAAACCAAAGGGTGCCGGATATTGTCTTCAGAATTTTGTTTTGACACCTTCGCATTATTTTGAAGACGTCGTGAAATTATATCCTCGAACTTATATTCTGTTATTTTGAATTGGTTTAAGAATCATTTTGTTACATAAAAACTGGCTGCATGATGTATTCATTAATCAGCATAGTTTATAAAACAGTCTGATAAAGAAAAAGGGTGGGAGACCCATGCTTCGGTACGTATAGGCTAACTTGACCGAAGTGTTACCAAGGTTTCACAGAAAGCAGACGTGAATCAACGCTTGCGTTATTTCATGTAAGTGAGGTTACCCTATTTCTCCATATCCTAATCCCTGAATCGTAAAAAATCCTCAAATTCCTATTTCCCAAAAGCACTACGCACTAACGCACTTGTAACGCCTTTGGTGTTTTGGGTGCAAACGGGCGGCGCCGATTGCTTTTATATTATTAAAATAAAAATTAACTAATTAAATTATTTTAATGTCTCTGCTCTTAAACTCGATTGATCCATTTGTGCTACGTGTAATTTTAAGTATCTGACTTGGTCTGATTATGAATGAACTTCTCTTTTAACTATTTTAATTTGACAAGCGCCTCTTCTTAAAGCGAAGATCTGGATGGAAAGAACGAAAGGATCTTCTCTACCTTTATTTTTCCATCAGCCTAGTACTAAAAATATATGCGATAGCGCACTAATCAAGGTAATTCAGTAACTGTAAGGTTACCATGAATACGCTAACTCTGATGAATGACTGAAGAAGATTAAGAATGGGTAAACTTCTTCTACCAACAGTCTTTGAAGCTGCTACACTATAATCGAATTGACTTAGCACTGGCGATGTTCTCAGGTAAGGCAAGTCTACCTAAGTGACGGTCACTGTTTATCAATAGATGCCTTGTTGGCTTTGTTGCTACCGTTAATAGTATAATTCAGTGATTAGTAGCAATTCAATGATGTGCATCAGAAATGAATACATAATTAGTAATCTGGTTGAACATTGGATAACTTAAGACCCCCGACTAAAGGG